AATCATTATAGTGACTTAAAACAGAATTGTCATGGATTTCATAATGGGATAAATATCAGCAATCAGAATGCCACTTTAATCAAGAAAAGGTTTCTTAATGAGTGAAGGATCATAAACTTTCTCCAATGCACCCTGGAAAAGTTTTAAACTAGAAAATTTCAACAACTGCAAATATATAATTTATGCAGGAGAGTTACCCTTGACCAGGGCACTACTTTCTAATGGTCTAAGGGCTTGTCACTGTGATATTTCCCTGCCTTATTTTAACTTTGACTGGATATTACCTGCAGATATCAAGCCTGAATAAAAGTATGCTGTGGAACCACATGTTTAACTTACATCTATGTAAGACCTGCCAACCCGAAAGAGACATTCTCAGTAAATCAGTCGAAATTTTTCTGTAAGTTGGACCAATTTTCAGTAAGGTGTAAAAATTATTAGGTGCTGGCAACAAGAAAAATTTGAATAACCATTATAGTTTATACCTATGTTGTAACTTACAATATATAGCTACTGATGTGACTGGTACATGGTACTTTTGCACTTTCTAAGAAACTTCTGGTCAAACTCCACTTTTAAGCATTCTCTCTACTTCACTTTCATGACTAGTATTGCTATCAACTGGCATAAATGAGCCGGATTTTGAGTAGTTTTTTGCAACAAACAAGAACACCCTCTCACAACCTGCATTGAATGAGGAACAATAAGTACATTTTTTATGATGCTGTACAACAATTTGTATTTTAACTGGCCATTAGTATCCTTGAGTTTACTAATAAGATCCCATTGCTTGTCAACTCATTTAGTGTTTAAGATCTCAGGATTCAATTCATCTACTTGTTAATTCAAAAACTCTGCTTCCAAGTTGTCTTCCAAGTTGGTTTCTTTGGGTTCCATACACATAAATCTTGATGTGAAATGCATCACACTGCTAAAATCACAAATTCTTTTTGACACCTCAGCAACCAGTGTTTCAGAAGTTCATTATTCAAGGGAAACCTCTTAACAATGTACTCACAAACAGTTGTGTAATATCCCCTTACATCTGTATAGAACTGACAAAGGCTATTTTCATACAGCTTCCTTTCAGTCAAGTATTTTCTTGTTTTTAAACCTACTGTAAATATAACATCTAAATTTTGTTTCTCACAGTCATGAGAATTCATATCAGTAAGATCCTTGGCCTGTGTAGTTTCTGAAGCCTTTACAAATCTGATCAGCAACTGCTTTAATAATTCAAGCATGTTTGTTTTCTCTAAGTTTGTTAATCATAGACTCCTCCTGTTGCATGATTAAGTTGTACTTGTTAAATAATGGAATTGTGTGGTCTAGAAATAAGCAACAAATCTTCACCCTCCACGACTGCAAAGCCTTGCACACACTCATAACCTTTTTCTCTCTGTAATGGATTTTTTACTGTCTTTCCAGTCATTTCTAACCAATGGCATCTGACATCTAGACAAAGCCTTTGTATCTGATTTCTGTGATGTAGCTTTCTCTAAGGAATCTATCTTGGGGTTTTATTTTCTGTGTTTCCTGCTGAGGCAGACTTGAGGGTAGTACTAGCATGACTTCTAGATTTATCACAGCTCAAAGCTTTACTGCATGTACCTGCACTGTCCTTATTTCCTTCTTTATTACTAGATACATGTGGAACTTTATCCTTGAAAATAAAAACCTTCTCTGACATCCTACTTTGGGCTTTAGCTCTTTTTTCCTGCAACTTCTTGTTTGGTGGTTTCTTTACCAAAATATATTTGTAAGGGTTCCCACTGTTCAAACAGTCTATTTATACCTTCACCAAGAGACAACTATCTTGTTAACACAATACTTCAACATTTTTCTCTCTTCTTTTCCACAAAGAGTCTGAAGAGCTTTCAGTACCATTTGTCTATTCACACTTTTATCCAAATAATATGATATGTCTACTATTAAGTCATCAAAACTAATAGGCAGCATTATCAGCCCCCTTTTTAGCTGCTAAATGTATCAAATAGCATGAACATCCACTCAGATACACTGAGGGATTCACCATATTTATATGTCCAAATACACTTTTATTGCAACCTGTCCTTAATGAAGCATTATCTGATTCAAAGGCAACAGTCATTACAACTATGTTTTTCTTTTTAAAATCCTCATCCAATATTGTGAAAATATATTCCACCACATGGCCATAGAACACAATTAATTTTACTATATAGTCTCTACATTTGTTTCTCAGTGCTGAACTTTCCACTGTGTGACAATCAATACAAATCATATGTTAATCTAAAATACCTTTAAAGATGAAGTTCTTGTCAAGGGTTGACCTGCATTTTTTGAGAGGCTGAATTGTAAACAAAACACCATGCAACGGAATACCATGGCCTTATTACTCACTGTGCACTGTTGCTGAAATACACACAGACAACTACACCATAAGCTCACATTTTAAAGAATAAATAATTGCCTTTAAATCCTTACCAAGAATGCCAAAATCTAACTCTTGTATCACCACCAAATCGAGACAGGAAACTATGATCTCAAAATAGACTGGGGCTACATTCTTTGGGTACTGAACCAAATTTTATTAATTGTGTACAGAGTCCACATGCTTTAACTGACAAAAGTGCTTCAGTTACAACCCAATCTGTGTTATCAAAATATCTAACTAGCTTCTCAGAATCATTACAACCATCAGTTGCTATACTGAAAGGTTGGGATAAAATATTGCTAACAATGCCTTCCCGTACTGACTTGCACTGTTGTAATATAATAGTATTAATTTTTGTTCTTCCACACTGATGACTCTTTGCTACCAATGACTTGGGAAACATGCATTTGAATAGCCTAGATGATGACCCAAAAAGTTTGTAAAATACACATCGGCCTTAATGACATCCAATTCTGTTTCTGGCACTACACATCCAAATCACATAGAAGTCATCAACTTACAATTTGATTTTATTGCAATGTGTTCTTTATGATATTTGGAATTCTCGTTGCAGCGACAGTCATATCGTCCACCAGTGAGAAATGTTCAAGTCAACACGACATAATGTGCTGGTCACCTTTTTTTACTTTTTTTCTAATCAAAACCAAGTATCTGAATATTATCTTTTATACTTTTGCAACCAGTGTTTCAGCTTTTTAGGCGGCTGGTTTACAACACCATCATATCACATGTTGGTCACTGCAACCTAAATTTCACACAAGTGACTTTCGCTAAAATTTGTCTTTCTGACAGTTTCATCATAACAAAAGTATATTAGCTAAATTAAATGTTTCAATGACTTCAGTTTGATATTTAAGTGTTTATCAGGTATTAGTCACCCCAGACATACAACCTGTTAAACAAATACATCTTACTGAGTACAATACATCATGCCAGAAGTATCAACTTTGTGACCTAAATTTCATGCTTCAGTGACTTGGTCAAGCCTTTTATTTCTGATAGTTTTGAATGAAGATGTTTTCTTGGTAAGAATTACCCACTTCAGTGATTAGTTTTGTATAAAGGATAGTTTCTTGCACATTAATGGCCACAAAGGCATGCAACTTTGGATGAAGATTCATGTTGCTGAATACATCACCATCTTACCAAAAGTAGGTCACTAACACCTGTATTTCTTGCTTCATTGACTTTAATGTATGTTTTATTTAGAGTCAATTTCTCATTCACATTTGACTGCATGGTCATAAAAAAATGACAGATGGTAGGCTTTCATATTCTGTTCTTATTTTATATATGTCTGAAGCAATGTTTCTATGTAGATGATTATAGATAGGGAATACAAGAATATTTCAAGAAGATTTTAAAATTAGTATTGTACTGATTACAATTATATAATTTCTTCATACATAATATTTTCAACTGGAATAAAAGTATAAAACATTTATATAATATCACAGTGACCCAGATCTGGTTCTGAGGCATAATTTTGGGTATATATATATATATATATATATATATATATATATATATATATATATATATATATATATATATATATATATATATATATATATCCACTCACCAAATTTGACAATTGTACCATGAATAGCGAATTAGATACTGACCTAAAATACACAGAGAAGTTAGTTGAAGCCATTCAAATAGTGAAATATATGTCACAATATCCTAAAGTTCAGTTTGGTAAAATTTAATGTATGCCCTGGCAAAATTGTTGACCAGTCCCAGTGTTACCCTTGTCAATACATCTGTCTGTCGACCATTTAAATGGACATGAATTTCTTCAAATATACTAGACCAGCCCCTTGTCCCATAAGGTCTTCTTTGTAGATAATGGTGCTAAAACTAATCAAGTTTTTAATTGATTAATGTTATAGTATTGGTCCTAACCATAACCCTTACCTCTTCTTTGTTTAATTGCTTACATCTTAATTCATGAATAAATTAACATGTTATATATTTTTGCAAGTTATTAAACTGGCAGTCATTATAGATCACTTTGATCTTAATACATATGATCTTTCCTTCATAGCTAGTTAAGGGACACAACAAATGTTAGAGAAACAGAGGCAACAGTTAACCAGAATTAGTGGAGCATAAATAAATACTACAATGACCTATTTCTGGCACAACAATGTAATCCCAGACACACATCCCTCCAATAAATTTCATTACCATACCATGAAATCTGGCACAATGATGTAATCCCAGACGTGCAAACCTAATTTTTCAATTGATGTCTTGAATTGCAATAGAGAATGTGTGTGTGTGCATGCATGTGTGTGTGTGTGATATTAATTTTTAATGTGGCTTTAAAGAGTTTCAGTCGTAGAACTGAACAATTTTACAGTCATATCACTATGATGTCTACACTGTAGCTGTTTATAGTGATATCGAACACCGGGGCATCATGTCACACACATATGGCATGATGTCACGGACAGTCCCATTATCCTGACACCAGGCAGACCAGTCCTAATAGTAACCTTTTCAGGCTGATCGCCTAGTGTGGCAGCTGTTTGTATCATTTTTAAAGTCTTTGATATGACTTGGCCAGGGATAAAACCTGCGACCTCCCGCATCCGAGGTGGATGCTCTAACCACTAGGCCACCTGAGAGAGAGAGAGAGAGAGAGAGAGAGAGATGTATTTAATACGACAAGCCATATTTGATAATTTAATATGTGCTTCTTTGAAAGAGATATTATGTAAGTGTGGAGAAGAATCACTTGTATCTAAGTGATATGTTTTGATAGCCAAAACTCTTTCCCAATTATAAACGATTATTTGGTGCAAAGTCAAGTAATAAGTCTAATATTAGAAACACTACTATAATATAACCACATAATGTAATGAATTGACAATATTCGGTGGTGCTATTAAGTTTGAATTTAGCAATCATACACTATATGCTATACTTATTATAGTAAGTGGTATTGCGTTAACCAATAATATAACAGTCACATGTTTCTTCATAGCTGTAACAAAACATGCGATGTTTGCCTAATATGAAAAATCATACCTGTAAATGTAGCTATGCCAGTAAAATTACATGCGAGTCATTTGAGTTGATAATTATCTTAACATTGCACATTATGACCTAGCTTTTTCTATCCACTGTTCGTGGAAATTGACTTAGATCTAGTGATATATATCCAACCAGCCGAAATGAGACAACTATATTATTTGACTCTCACGATGAAAACAGCTTGTACCAAAATTTTTCAAGTGTCTTTTTGTCCTTCAACATTTTTTCCTACATATTGATTATCACCATACAGGTCTGAGATGTGACTTTTGGTCCCATTAATTTTTGTCCTATGTTTTTTTATAACTTTTTGTCTGTTTTGTTTTGTACTGTTACTTTCTGTCCATTTACCATTAAAAATACAATACTTGCTGCTCTGTGCGTAAGACATACAAAAAATTCTGAGATGGAGGAAGGATCCATCCCCAGGGAGAAAGAAAGTACTGTCCCATGATGCTTTGGTAGTAACATTAGCTTTTCCAATGCTTCCTACTGGCGTACTATGAAACCAAACTATTCAAATGTCTATAAAATTTAAATAACACACAATACACTGGTTCAATAGACACTTTATTGTATATATAACATAATTCTTTTGGTATAATGGGGGCAAATCCTGTCACAGCACACTGCCCCAGCCCAGCTCTGAATTGTTCTAAAGGATACCTCAGGACAAGACACATGTTAGAGTTTGTAGGGTTGTGAAGTGTCCGATACCTGTATGTTGAGCAGCATGGGGCTGACATGAGGTATATAGGGACAATGATACCGAAACTCAACAAGTCCAATCCTGAGGATGCTATGATAACAAACATCAGCCATACATGCACCGTAGGAAGCTGGTATGAAGTATATGGGCATAATAGTCGTTTACATTTAAGCACTGACACAAATTGGGGTTCAAAAGCAAAGTTTTGAATGAATGAAAACTTGGCAATGGCCCAAATGCTTTGGTGATAACAAATGATTAATAAATCCTAGTAGGACTTGCTTGGACTTAAATTTTAAAAAAAATCGAAAGTTAAAATGAAGAAGCTTTTGGAAAAGCAATTTTCCTGAATTCACTTTATGTAATATAACAGAATTATAGGTTATTCTTTTGTATCCTAAAGTGTAGTGAATTTTAAAATCTGATCTTTAAAACTGACATTAATTTGTCTTCCCCTAGGGTACTAGGGTACTTCCAAAACTTTCATTACATTTATATATATATATATATATATATATATATATATATATATATATATATATATATATATATATATATATACTATTTCAAGTAAGATACATACCTCAGCTGCCCTCATCTGTGCCATCGACCTTGTCACAACCTGACTGCACACACCACTGTGACAGCAATAGTAATTCCAAATGGGTATGATCATCATTGACACTACACTTATTCACTAGCAAACGCTGGTTCTGGCAGTAACTAACTACTGAACGCACTGATATATGGCAAGCACCAAGGGAGGAATTCAAGCTCTTATCAAGAATACTGAAAAAGACAAAATATACTAACAAATATTAATTTGTATCATATTCTGTAGGTGCAAACTTATAATTATGAACAGACTGTAACTATTACTTGATTAAACTGATGAATTTAACACAGTTTGATGATTTGTTTCAGTCTAAATGTAAAATCCTTTGTAGTATTTGTAAATAATGAAAACTGTTATACTATCCTTTAAATTATAGACATCAAATATAAATGAAAGGATTTGGGATGACTGCAACTGTATTTTGGTTACATAAGAATGATAAGCCATAATAAAAAGTTGCTTTCATTTAACAAAGATGTAGAACAAATATAACATAATACAATAGAAAAGTAAAAATATCATTCAGAGATTGCTCCTGCACATTTATTAACATTTTGATCTCTTGAGTAAAGATACAACTATATAACAAACAAAGTAACCGATTATATCTGATTATCAGTTGGTTAAGTGCAACCGATTATTGATCATGAATTTCTGATTGATTGCCATCATTGTTACAGTTTTTACTATTTTAAAGACGAGTTTGGTTCATGGCTTACACTGGCTTGGCTCATTATTTTAAAAATATCTTGAGCACAAACACACTATTCTGACCTAAATATATTTTTAATTTTACCCTCACTTAGGTCAGAATTTTTTAGATTAAATCCTAGAGGCTCAACTACACACACACACACACAACTTTAAATTATGTATGAGCATTCATGAACAATAATGAGTGGGTGTTGGGGATTATAAAATCTAACTTTTGTTATCGACTAATCCTGGCCAGCCAAACCCATACAGCACTACTTTACCTTCTAGACTAGTTCCAATTTATCAATTTAATTAGTACAGCAAGTCCCATATCCACCTTTAGTTTTACTTGACACACCTAAGAATAAGTTTTCACTGGACTGTTTTTTTTGTGCAAATTTTCATCCGATGATGACCTATTGCAGCCAAATGATAATATTACATTAAAGATACCATTAAAAACTAATTGATTTTTGTTGCAAGGATACTTGCAAGATTCTGACTGAGGTATCAAGATTAATTCTTTATACAACTGGTGGTTTTTATACCGAACCGATAGTACAGCAAGTCCTATATCCACCTTTAGTTTTACTCAAGATACCAATAAAAACTAATTGATTTTTGTTGTTACATTCATTTTCAACAGAAAAGAGCTACACCATTCCCTTAACAACTCACGCCCGGATAACTGTCAAACCAGTTTATAATGCTGTGTCTGATGTAGCTCTTGATCTTTTTTCCAAAGAAAATATATTTTAAAATTGTGCTAAATGTTTAAAAAAAATCACGTTAAGAATTGGTAAATTTAACCTTGATACATACCATATTTTAAGTAGATTCTCATACACAAAATAATTATTAATCATTACTTTTTATATAAACAAAATGGAATTGCGTTATTTTCTATCTTTTTTTGCAAACGTATATCTTGGTGGAAATTTTATGTACGATAATTTAAAGAATTTTTCAAATAATACAAAGTGATATGTACAAAAAATTATGAATCATTCAAATAATTATTTTGACAACTGGATTGTGTATGAAAGATTAAAGGGTACGAAAAAAATACATGAAATATGATAGCTCATTTTATCATTGGAAATAGTGATTATAAGATATCACATTATGTATGGGGTATTTTTAAGAAAAATAGTTGTCAATACACTGAATAAACAGACTGGTAAAAGAGATCAATGAAAAATTCTAGTAAATGCTAACTGGTGGCAACAGAGAATGAAATAAACACTGCAGCAACTAAGTGTCTTGCTATGTAATTTTGCTTCAATGTAAACACTATAATCAAAACATATTCTCTTATGAAAACATGAAAAGTGTCAATCGACAGTTACATCAAAACCCATGAGTACTTCTGTGAGAACCTAATTACATGCTGGCTTTGTCTTGATCAACAACTTGGGGAAGTGTTTGTTGCATAAAAAGAATCAAGTATATAATATCATTAATGTATCCTAATCATTTGTAAATGTGACCATGGAAAGCAAAGAAACTAAGGGAAAGATGTACTCAGTGACTGAAAGGCTGTGCATCACTGAATGTGTTCATAAAGGCAAAGCAAGATCCAACTTTTGCAATGAACAAAACAATTGCAGAGTCAAAAGTTTGAGGTTGGCTTAAGGATAAGCAGAAACTTTTGTATTATTTACATGATGTGGATTGAGATAATGGGATCAAATGAAAATGAGCACAGACTGCAAACAATACTGAATTAGATGATGCTGTGTACAGAGAGCGCACATAGCAACATGAACAAGGTGTTCACATAGCTGGAACAATTCTCAAGGCACAAGCAGCAAAAAATGGCAAAAAGTATTGAGAATGAATCTCGTTTAAGGGCAAGCCATGGATGGCTTTGAAGATTCCAGCACAGACACAGAATTAAATTGTTGTTCTTGTTGTTGGGCTTAACACATTTTTTAGCACACGATAGAATTAAACAATTCATTGTCGGGCGAAATATGCTCAGCTAATCACGAAGCCGCATGTAATTATCCAAACCAGCTCAGAGAATATCATCCATGAACAATACAAAGAGGCTTAAAGCCATTTTTCAGCACACAATAGACTATACATGGCGGCCAGTATTAATGGAGGAAGAAACCAGGAAATCATCAGAAAGAACCACCAACCCACCAGAACCTACTGGCAAGCTTTCTCACCTATCCACATTCACTGAATCCTACACTTGAACCTACACAGACAGAGGTGAGATGGCAGTGATCCATAACAGACAGCACTTTAGACCACTCGGCCACTCGGGGCCCTAAACAGATGTTTTTAAAATGTGAAGAGATATTTGTCAAACATGTCACAAACTGCAAGTATCATCATGTTCTAATTTACATTATTTTAAATTTGTAGATCCATTAAATTCATGTTGGTAATGGTTATCCCTTGTAAAAAAAAAATTTAATTTTACTTCTACCACGATCAAATCTATCCATCATTTGATCGACATTGTTTTTTCAAAATAAATGTCAATCTTTTGTATAAAACAAATCTACTTTCGATCAAACAATATAACTAGAAATTATCTAATTTAAGACA